GTGTGTGTGTGTGTGTGTGTGTGTGTGTGTGTGTGTGTGTGTGTGTGTGTGTGTGTGTGTGTGTGTGTGTGTGTGTGTGTGTATAGATAGATAGCTATGCAAAATTTTCAAGTTGTGTAGATGCATGCATATATAAATATTCCATGCAAATATAAGACAATGTATTGGATCATTAGGCAGCTTTGCAATGCTACCCGTTGGTTATTTGGGCTTTAGGCCTATCAACTGCCAGGGTTATTAAGGCTGTCAACTTGTTGAGACTCGCAACCATTACTGAGGATGCCCGTGGCTGGAATAATGAAGTGCGCAGCACTTGACTAGTTGTTGTGCACCATGCAGCTTAGAGGGAACACTGGTAGTAGCTATATTTAAATTTTCCAAGAAGAAAACAGTTGAACTTACTGTATGATGAACAATGTTCAAATATAGTGATGTTATATTCATCTCAAATCAACAATTTCCTCATCCCCAAAACCAATATTATTTGTTGAAAATAACTTCTCATACTAAAATGTGTAATAAAGTTTCACATCAGTGTTAGCAGGTTTAAATAATTACCTGTCCTTATGAGCAGGCTTGACAAGCTAGTTTCACATCCGGACATAGCAAAGTACCAGTCCCAGAGGTCAGCCGCTAATGTCAAGCCCAAGAGTATGATAACAAGTTTTCATTACATACTTATTGAAGCTGCTATCTAATGCTTCAAACTGAATCTTGATTAATTAGAAATGCAGAATGATTGTAGTGTACATTACAGTAAATGACTATTAATTATAGACTGGCCAATTTCCTGATTTATTAAAGCTTGCATTAATCAAAAATGCCTTTTATGCTTAACACACTGAAAATTTCACACTTTGTTAAGCTTTCTAGAAAATAATGGCAATATTCATATATGGTAAAATTTCACACACAAGTAAACTTTTGTATATGTTTGAAATAACCATCAGAAACATTAAAATAAGCAATTGATATTTGCTAAATGTACAATTATAATATTATTAAATGAAAAGATAACAGTGATAGTAAAACAATGTTTTATATAATCACTTCATTAGACATTTGTTTTATTTTTATAAAGGAAAATTACTTGAATGTTCATATAGACAATAACAAATATTTTGAGAAACACATTAAAGTTTATATCTGAAGTTTTGCAAATGCTGGAAAATTGTCAAAATTGGACACAGTATTTACTGAAAACTGTTTAACTAATTATATCAGAGAGAAAATACATATAATGCACAATTTTTACATGCAAATCAGTGTGTTCTAACAAAAAAATTAAAATAAAAAATATCTAGAAAATATTATTAGCATGCATCCAAAATAAGTATGAGACGTTTTATTATATTAAATTATATTTATTATATTATTTATTTATATTAATTATTTATAATTATTTATTATATTAGTTTATTATATTAAATTTACAAATATTACTCAATACCTCTTACACTCATTAAATTTTTAAGCTTACGTTGCTAACACAATTATTGCAAGTTTAAAGAATAAAAAATATTGTAAACATACATCCTCAAAGCTTATGTTTTTGTAGCCACAAAAATTTCTCCAGGTAAATAACTTGATAATCCAAAGAACTGTTCTACAAATACCATACTGACACTTCCAGTTGTTGAACAAAACTTAATGTGATAATTCCAAATTTAATTCACTAAATTAAACATTTTATCTCTCTCTCTCTCTCTCTTATCAGCTGTCATTGTCACGTTATTGTTTTTAATAAGAGTAGGTTTACCGAAAAACACATAGTTCAAGGCAGAGTGCTACGTGGGCGACA